TCTTAATTTCTTGGTAGGTTTGAGGTTCAGAATCTTAAAACAGATTAAAGCTGTGGTTGAAAGTAAGCCAGACCGAAGACTTACAATTAACATTGCATCTTGGGCAAGATAATTGAAGATTATAGACTGTGGAGATGAAAAATACCTCACAGATCGTCTAATACATCTCTGCCAGTTTGAGATTGTTCCTGCTAGTGTCTTTCATTAGTATCATCTAGTCTAGTTTAAAATGTACCACTTGGTGAGATTTCAATCACATCTCTAGGGAAACAGCTTTCCCTGCCGCCCCACCCCCCCCACACCCCTGCCCACTTTCTCTGTTTAGTTTTATCCTATGGATTTGAGATGTGCCACACGCTTGGTCCTGTCTCTTTCCTGTGATAATCAATCACTGCTTACCCAAACAAGGCACGTGTTTCCCTGTATCTCTAGTCCTAATTCTGCTCATGTTTTGTACCTCTGTGGATGTTTTCTGGCTTCTCGTGGTGTCCTTGGGAAGAGCCTGGCCTTTCTCAGCAGACAGCCCTCACTTCTGGAATCCTTCTTGCTTCCACGCAGCCATGTGCTGACAAAGCCAGTCTTTGTGTCTGCTTGAGGAATGATGCAAGGCCCATCTGTTAGCTCAGGCCGATAGGAAAAAAGCAGCCTTTAAGGCTGGCTTGTGGGTTGCTTTGTTTTTTCCAGAGGTTTTGATGTCCACACTTGACCAGTGAATCTCCAGAAGCAATCTGAGCTGTCATTCCCTCCTGGCAGTAGCTCTCCGCCATGCTTTTATGATTATTCTCACCTTCCATCCAAGCTTTCAGCAGCAGGTTTCTCACACAAATATATTTCAAAGAAAGCTCAGTCATGACTTATTTTTAAACATACCAGTGACACCCGTTCCTTCGTATCTGTCTGATCAGTAACTTTTCTTCAAATTTTTTTGTTATTCCTGTATAAAATTCCAGTTACTTATTAACGTTTGCTGGTATTAAATCATTACCAGATCTAATTTTAATTTTATGAATAGCTTTAGAATATTTCTTCCAACTGTAATTTCTTTTATTCAAAAAATTCTCAATAAATATTCTTTCTTATGGCACCCACACAGTTTTTCTGGCTTGTTTCTAGTCTGTTCTTGCCAGGCTTTTTTTCTCAAGCTTTTGTGATAACGAAATGGAGCCATGGTACCCATGGCATTTAAAAAAAAAAAAAAAGCTTTGAGAGGTTTGGGGTTTTCAGTTTTGGGTTATTTTTTTGCTAAGAAGTGCAATTAGTTTGACATTGCATTCGTATTTTTCCCAAGTGTGTTTCAAACTTTTGACATATCTTCATTTAAGAACAGATTGCCTCCAAAGTTTTACAACACCTGAAGTTTTGAAGTAGTAGCATTTTTTTTCAATGCTTAAGTTTTAGGTGGCACTTGGACCTTAAGAGCTAATAGAACATGAAAATTGGTGATTTTTTTAAAATTTTGCTACAAATACACTGTCTTAAACCTAATTAATTCCACTGTATCCTGCTCTACCAGGTAAATGCCCAAAGTAGGCTCAGAGAGAGAGACTGTTTATATGAATGCAATTTTACAAAAAATAGCTCAGCTCCAGAAGCAGTTAGAATGAAAGTTGGATCTGGTAATGATTTAATACCCCATACGTAGCTTTTCTTCCCTCTCTCCCTACCCTCACCCCAGTTAGCTGTTAGGTGTTCAGCAAAGAGGCGCTTAAACCTCTTGTGTCAGGAGGGAATCAAACCTTCCATGTCCTAGAAGATTTCTTAACCATTTGGTGAAGACAATTGTCTTGGTTTTATTAATCAGGTCTAGAAAGATAGGTTCAGTGCAAAATATTTGAGGAATTTAGTAATTCCACATATACCACAATTGAATCTTTTCTTCTGACAAAACAATTTATTGCAAAAAATGTGTGTGGCACAATTCTGTGGCTGACTTAGTCAGCAGGAGAATCCTGCTATATTGTATAAAGCAGAAAAAATGAAGAAGCCATTGCTTTGGCGTGACCCAACTCCCTTGCTGGTTTTGATTCTCCCTGAACCCATTGAAAAATCTGTGCAAACAGCTCCAGGCTGCTGCTCCCTTTTGGGTTTGTCCTTCAGAGATCTCTGCCTTTCTCCGTGTGCAGGCTAAGCATCTGTAACTAGGTTTTGAATTCTGCTCCAAAACCTCACAATTTAGGTATTTTATCTTCTAACATTTGGCTCTCTGCAGGGGAGCTGGTCCATGTTTACTCCCCTTAGACTTATGTTCTTTCTCTTTGTCTCTACTGAGCCTCTTTGGAGATAAAACTGTTTCTTACCTGCGTGAATTGAAAATGTCGGTTCTTTCTACTTCTGTCTTTTTAAGCAGTCTCAGAATCAGGTCTCGCTGTTTCAGCACTCGCTTCCCTGTGATGACATTTTTATTCAAGTTAAATAGAGGATTTGTGAAAGAAATGAGTAAAAGGTGGCAGTTTGCTAAGTAACTTTGTGTTCTCTGATGATCAATAGCTATGTCTTGTAATACCATATATCGAGTTTTTGGAGTTAAGGTCTTGAGTCAAAAACAACAATGAAACTTAGTATCTACTCTGCTATTTTGGATTTAGTGACTCAGCCTTTAGTAAGGAATTTTACGTTGCCGACCTTATGTTACACATACAGCATTTGGTGCTCGTTAGAAAATGGTTACAATTTGTTGTTGAAGTATTGCTGGAGCATTTGTAATGCAGCAGCAAGGTCACTTTCACATCCCACATAAAACTGAGATGGGTCCAACTCCAAACTGTATAGGCTTTTGCTGTGCTTTTTGGGAGCTTTTAGGAGCCTCCTGCCATTCCTTCATCGGTGATTTCTGAGTCTGAGGCCAGCTGCAAGCGCGTATTGCAGAAGCGATTCGCCAGTAATGGTGCACTGGGGTGTAAAATAGCAATTGTTACAGCAGATTACTC